TTGTCTGATTTATTTTTAGCAATGTTTTAATAATGAATCTATTCAATTTCATAATAGTGTGAACTGTTTATTCTCAGTTGAATCATACACATTTCAAAAACACATATGCATTACTTTATATAAGTTTTGACATCCAATAGTGAAAATTATGAATTCCAAAGAATGCACTCTTGAAAACTATCCATTAACTAGGGGAATCAGATTTGATATTTCTCACATGTATTTGATAATCATTGATGTAAGAAAAATGGAGTAACTTGTTTAAGTGAATTTTAAGTACTAAAATGCATCAAAATGCAGAATTTTTGGTGCCGGAACCCCCCCCCCCCACACACACACACACTTTGCTTCGATTATTTTCAGTATTATTAGGAAAGGGACACTTTCATCTCAATCTTCCTCTAGTGAAATAATTTTTATTTTCCAAAATGTTTTTGAAATTTGTTAAGTGATTTGCCAAGTTAGGCTTAACTTTAAATGCTGTGTACAGTTTTGGTCTGTTGATCTAAGAAAGAATATTGACTTAATAAAAAGGATTCACAGGAGGGCCACTAGGATGATTTTGGAGAAATGTTATTTTAAGGGAATGGGTTTAGATCTCTCAGTTTACTTTCTCTTGTGTAAAGTAGGGTAAGGTGATCTTAGTTACAAGATTAATCGTGGGTTTGATAGGATAAAAGGTAATATGACAAGAGGACACAAGTTTACAATTTGGAAAAGATAGGATAGGTTCCAATGAAGACAGTTTTATTTTTCTAATAGGGTGATTGACTTATGAAATGAGTTGCTGTTGGCAGCAAGAGCTTCAGAGGAGAATTGATGATTTCTTGAAACAAAATAGAGGGGAGGGGGGGACAAAATTTTTACTTTTGTCAAGGGTGAGTGTGCAAAGAAGCCTTGAAGGATCAAAGGGTCCCTTATTATTTTTTGTAAGTTAACTGTAATTAATATGAAAAACTTACAACTAATCCAACTTCAACTATCCCACCACATACTTGTATTTAATGACATAATACTATACTTCATTAGAAAATTGTAAACAGTTTACAATAACCAGAGGTAAAGCTAATGGTGAATGATGTACTAAAGATGTTCATTATTATTTTAAAAAATTAGTTAAGAAATTAAGATGTAGACATGATAGTTTGAAAAGGTTGTAATATTCTGTAAAATTATTAATCCTGTAATTACCAGGAAGAAAATTGATGAATTTACAGCAGAACTGAATATATTTAGTGTTTGAAATATGATAGGAAAAACCTCATATGTGAGAGTATGAACTCTGTCCGTGAAGTATTGTAATTTTGAACAAATGCTATTATATCTTACAAGTTGTGGTAAACAGAGTAGCATAACTTGTTTGGAATAGCTGTATTTGGAATGGAAAATTTATAACTACAAAATCAAGTGTCTCTATTCTGAAAATTTTGAGTATTCAATGTTATTAATATCCTAAATACAAGTTGTGTACTTTGTTGTGGAAGATGTTTATACAGTGTGAGTTCTAGTGAATACATATGTTTCTCAGTATCAAGAAAACATTGTCAGTATATCTACAAACATGATTAATATGTAAAGCTTTGTTAGTCTTTTTCACTAAGATTTTTTTTTGTGAATGAAAATTCAACTTCCAGTGCATATAAATTTGTAACTTGACAGCTGAAGTTAACACCCATAAGTATTCCCTGTATTTGTTGATTATATGTTAGCCATATTATATGTGTGTTATCAAGTTAAAAAATATACAGCTCATATATTTTATTATGAAACAATAATAATTTTTATAATTTATATACAACAATTAGTAGAGCCCAAAGCATTTTGGAATCCAGGGAAAGTGGAATAAAATTGTTACTGTACAGATTTTACTTGCCTTGTAAAGTGCTTTGAATGAATAGAAGTATAATAAAAACAGTAAACTGACCTTTCTATTATGTTTTGTTTTATTAAAGCACATACTAGGTTATAATAAAGGCAGCAGTTTCCAAACATCCCCACTAAAAATTAGTTGCTAGAGGGGTCTCGGCAATTGCTCAATAAATGAATGACCTATTTATAATATTGGCCCTTTGGCCTATGCACTAACCAATTATTGTCATCACTTTGCATGACACACACACACACACGTGTGTGTATATATATATATATGTGTGTGTGTGTGTGTGTGTGTATGTGTAAATATGATACTCATCATGTGCAGAAAACCAATCAACAGTCAAGGTTTTGACCTCTCATTCCAAATAATCAAGGAATCCATAAGAGAGGCTGGGAAAACTTGAGAGGTTGGCATGTTTAAAGGTATATGGAGATTTTATTTGTAACTAGTTGGGGAGTCATTCAGGTTCTTACATACAGCATTTCTCATCACTTCTTGTCTTTTCTTCCTGATCTTTTCCTCCTCTTTCCAATCCTCAGCATCATCTGTGTCTCAAAGCCATGGTAGCAGATCCTTTGGACATGAGAGCTATCAAAACGGCTGTTTGCTCCTTTCCAGGGTTTCATTCTCACCTTTTTGTTGTCCTTAAAAAAACCAGGGAAAGGCATCCTGTCATTGATCTTTTCTCTCTCAACCCCTATCTGGTGGTTCTTCGGTTTAAAATAGAGGGGTTTCTTACTTTCTGTTGGTTCTTTTCCCAAGACTATCGATCACCGAGGTCAATGACTGAGATGCCTTTTCCGTATCTCAATTACTTCATCATAATGTTTCCTTCATTTTGTCACCTGGATCAGGTGTACTAGTTTTGAGCTCTCCTCTTTGGTACCTCTTCGGCTCCTTCAGTCTTCAACAGAGTCATGAGTGCATTTGCTTGCCACATCTATTATCTTGGACTTTGTTTCTATCATTACATGGATGACTGACTTCTCCTTGTCTCTTCTTCCAAGAGGTAGGTTGTCTATGTTGGCTGGTCAAGTATTCCAAGTCATTTCTCTCTCTGACTCAATGCTTAGCCCATTATGGAGACATTTTCAATTCTTAACTCAGTGAGGTTCAGCCTTCCCCATTTGTCTGAGGGACATGGAGCATCTAGTCACCTCAACTCTTGCCTTTCCTATACTTTCTATGTTGAGAGGTTTTGTCTCATTTGGAGACTTTCATGTCTCTGGATCTTGTCCCTTTGGCCGGGCTTACTTAAGGCTTCCTCAATGGCCTTTGAGATACTCTTCTTTTGTGATGCTGCTGCCTTCTCTTCTTGAGGAGAGCTAGAGATCTAACCTCGTCCATTTTGTTTGTAATACTCTTAACATTTGAGCAATAACCACTGTACTTATACTTGAATCTACTACATCTTTAAATTTGATAACTACAATTTAACTTATGCATTAAAAGTTCTTTTTTCAGTCTAATCATTGCTATCCTATCAGTTTGTTTATTTTGACTTCCCCAAGTTTCCTCACAATTATGCAAGTTTAATCAAACTATCTCTAATGAATATCTGTATAGCTTCTCCAAACATTATGAAGTATTGTGTCTTATTACTATTGCTTATACATTTGTACTAATTCTTAGGGCTTCACTAAATAAGGCTCTTGTACCACATGCAGAACTTGTTTGATTGGCTTTAAAGGGGGGTGACATATAACATTTTCTGGAAATTCACCCCTACTGGGCAGCATCTTTGTATTAGTGTAACTTATTTCAGTATGTTACCTAACTTGTACTTTTAGGTGTTTTGGAGGTCTGAGACATAACCAAAGCCCAAATAAGTTTCATGAAGATCAGCCCCCAAATCCATAAAGTTTTTATGGAAACCAGGTTTTATTATTCCCACTCCTGTGCTAAAGGAATAGTAAGGGATAAAATTGAAATGACTGTTGAACTTGCAGAAATGGGAAAAATAAAGGGTTTTGAAATTTCTAAGGGGCATACCCAACAATGAATTCTTGAAGAAAATGGTGAAATTTTAATATCTTTGAATTTTTCAAGAACATTTAACTTCTTAGTACACTTCCTATATAATTAATATGTATGCATATGATAATGTTTTGTCACTGGAATTATCTGAAAATGCTATGTGAAGTATATTTCTTACACTGTTATTCTTTGTTTTTTAAGCATTTATGTATTAAAAATGTGTTATCTTTGATGTCTAGGTAGCTCATTATAAATTTTAAGTCATTTCCAAAGTGAAATGTAACTTATGAGTTAAATGTATTACTTCTTTAATTATGGTTTTGTATGAGCATTTTGTTGAAGCTCAGTATGATGCATTTCCATTAATATTATGTATGCTTTTTAACTTATCCAAGGTTCACTAACTTTATAGATCATCATTAAAAATATTTCACTTAGTAAATTAATGAAGCTAATTCTATACAACAAATTAGCATGGAGTACATAATGCCTATAACTATTGCAAAAGAAAAACAAAATTACAATGATTATAATGCACTGAATCAATGTTTGTACATTACTGATAATTATATTTTTGGCACTGATGAACAACCACCACATTAATCTTCTAACTCACTGCAACTTGTACCTCCTAAATATGCTCAGGTTAAATGGTATCAAACTACTCAAAAGTTTTCATTTTCTAGCTAAATAAATTATTTATATTAAGTAGAATAATCATTAACTGTTATTGAGTCATAACTTCAAAGACAACATTTATTGTATACATTTATCTGAGTTTTAGATAATTTTTACCCAATCTTTTATGATATTTGCACACTATAAGAACTCAATATTTTTTTTCATCTTTTATAATGCTGTAATTGCTTGACTTTGCAAAGTTATTGACAAAAAAGTTAGTTATATATAAATTTTGATGCATACATTTGTAAGTGCACTCACATGTTAGTTAAGCACATTGTGTCAAAGAAGTCAGGAATTGGGATTGAATATAGAAATCTAGAAACATGTATTAAATTCCCTTATTACCAAGTTTAATTTTCTATGACATTGTAATATATTTGAGTAAATCCTTTGATCAAAAGTACAAATTTTATCTTCAGTTGTGTTTCTGAATGGTTTTTATTCCATTCTTAGTAAGAAATAAGAAGGGTGTAATTCATTTTGTAGGCGTTAAAACTTTTGTCAAAGAAATGATTGTTGAACTTTGTATAAAGATATGTAATCTGTAGTTGTTCAAATTCCAAGGTTCACTTGTGTGTAAAGATAGTTCTCTGGGCCAATCTCAAACAAAATGTGGGATTATAGTTCAGAACAAGGGCCACAGTGATGGGGGGCTCACAATCTCCTTCATCCCCCATTATTGATATTATTGAACATTTATCATCATTGATATAAGTTGATGTTAACTACATTCATAGATGGCCCCATGTTCTTACACCAAACAAAAAAAACTTAAAATTTTCTACAACGCTGCATACACACAGTGTGGGGATGGCATACAGATGTCATATATCTTGAAGAGTGTGCTAGCACTCACTATGCAGGATGAAGTTTGTAATACAACAGCCACCATAATGCTGATATAAAGAGCCATTTCTTAAGTTATACTGACTTCCTACTTTAACCTATGACCTTACAACTTTATTCTGTAAGACACTTCTGCGGCCAATGACAATCATTTAATTAATAACATGAAACAGTGTGGAAGGATATTAAAAGCTGGGTGTTGAAAGCAGGTAACAGGAAGCACCCCTACTGCCATACTTTGGCAGCTTCCTCTTTGTACAAAGTCATCATGACCATCCCACATTTTATGCCATGTTTTAAGTATATACATATTGAGTTTTTAAAGCTTATACAAAACTTTTGGTAGGGTAATAATGAAAACTGTAATAATATATTATAAATAAATTGTGTGAAAATTAGGATTTTTGTGTTATTTATCATAACCTCCACCCCAAACTTTTTTAAGTTCATAATCCAGACAAAGAACAGGTGCCTCAGCTTTTTATACAATGAAAGCCAAGAATGTTTAAATAACTCAAGAAGAGGTCAAAAGAAAAATGGCATGAAAGATGCTTCAGTTCTAAAAATAAAACAGTCATGTTAATTTAACTTTAATTGTTTTGAAAGTAAATAATGTAAAAGCTATATATACATCAGAAGTATGTTTAAAATTTTTTAATAAGAATTAAGGGCTCTTGAAAAAAAGGCACAATCAAAATTGTCAAAATTGTTTCATGTATATCTGATCATTAGCCATTTAATAAGTATATAATACCCAAAATTATCAGTATCTTTTTTGTTTATTGTAGCCAAAAATGGTGTGAAAAACTGACATATATAGAAGTCAGTTTCAACATACATGTGTCCTTTATGTCAAATGTTTCTAGTTGATTGATGTATGTAAATAGTACAGCTTGTCTTTTGTTTCTTTTAAGGGTGATATTAAAAATGTATCTTGATAAACTACTATATGTGTAAAATACGTATTACAAATTACCATACTAGTTAATTTTGTTTGTGAAATTTGAATAAAGCTAAGATCAGCCACATCAACTAGTTTCTAATTTACAGAAATTGCAGAGTTGAGTAAGAGTTTATGCATAAATCATTGTAATTTATGAATAAACATTGTAAAGTAAAAGGAACAAAGCTTTATAATATGGTAATACATGTTGTATGTGTATTAGTAACTTCAACTGAACTTTGAACATTCTTTATTATAGATGTAGTAAGATGTATCAGTACAAGTCAGCAACTACCTACCAACAAAACTCCACCTGGTAAGAACTGTAATATTTCAGCAATTTGAATGTGTTTTGCAGTTTATAATTTGTTTCAGGTTATAGAGCATAAGACCAAAAACAAGAAGTTGAAATTTCTTCAAACCACTAGCATTTTCTAATTTAACATCAACTCGTCATAGAAATATAACCCAAGGTACATTTCTGACAATGTGATATATAGAGGTTGAGTTATGTTATATTCAAATGATTTTGGAGCCTTGCCACATATTTTCATTCTGTCACCACATTCAGTCATACTCTTATCTGACAGTACATGCATCTTTAACAATAGCTCTGCAGTGTAGTTTTTATTGCAAAAAGATTCCTGAGACAGGTATTGTATTCAAAGCAAACCCGTCCTCTTGTGTGAGAATGATAATTCCAAACCCCCTGTTTCAAGAGAAATCCACAAATGATGTGTCTAGTGACTTAACCAGTACATCATGCCTTTGTATGGAATGGTATGAACACCTCTTTCATTCTTCAACTACTTTAGGTATGTGATGACTGGACTGGTATGTTGTGTGAGCAACTTGTGTACTGTTGCCTGGGGCATATGGGTACCTTTTTTCACTCATCTATATGTTTGTAGATTTTTACTTGTTACAAAATGCCCCATTTTGCTTATCATGGCTGGGGTACAACTTGTTACATGTTTCTTTCTGAATCGTCCTGGTGTCCCAAGTTGATCCATATTATATAGTTTTTCAATGCCATTAAATTACAAGGGATATCCTCATCTTGGAAATACTAAATCTTGTGTCTGATCATATCTTTATGATCTGAGTGTATGAATATCTTGCATCAGAAGTGCTCTGATACATGGCATTTTACTGTAACTACATCATTTTCTTACTTGCACATGGAAAATTATTTTAATATAACTTACTCAACCCTATGTTCAAAATGGCATGTTAGCTTATAGTGGTATGGAATTTGAATACTTTTAAATACTATAATTAGTTTGTTTTCATTTGTTATGTTAATGATGGGAATTATTTCTTGTTAGAAGCTTATAAAGATTTTGTACTGTTGTTTAGAATAAATATTTATTATTCTTTTGTAATTATATGTTTTGAAATAGACCATAAGAAATTGTTGTTTTAAAAAAATATAAAATATGCTGTACAAAGTTTTTGAATCCATGTAAGTTAAGTAAGCTGGCATCAGTAAAGAAAAAACAGGGTCATAATTAGCAAGTCAAGATAGTCTTTAGTAAATTCAGTTTCACAAATTCATTGTCAGTCGAAACAAAGTAAGTAGTGAATAAAATTGGCTGTTATTTTAGAGATTTGGGTATATCAAGTTGTACACTTGTCAACAAGTACAACTTGTCTCTAGTCTATAACATAGGCTTAAGTTACTTATTAGGTGGGGAGGTAGGCTCAGAATTGTTGTTTTGAATTTTTTAAGATAAGAACATTTCTTGGTTATTGGATGAAGGAAGATTTCAAGTTGTTCTGTTCATTTCAAATTAAATTGATCTATATATATTAAGTTGCTACAATTGTTTAAAATTCTTGAATAAATCATCAATATTTATTCATCTGTAAGTCTAATTATGTATAAATTCCAGAAGAATTTGATTAAAAGACTAACATAGTAATATTTTATTTGACCAATGGAGTATCTTTGTTTGTTTGATTTGTACTTTTACCCCACTAAAATATTATGTACTTTGCCTTGACGCTATTAAAATCAGGTAATGATAAAGCAAACATTTTGGAATGGTGATTTTTAAGAACTACTGAATTTAATAAAAGAAAATTTAAATTGTATGAAGATGAGAGAGGTTTCAAGTTCCTTATTTATTATTTTATATTTTATACATTTAATGCATCTTATTTGGTATCTCAATTTTTGATACAAAAAATTCTGAAGAGTAGGTGATTGGAATAAGAAAGAGAGTTTGGAATTAAAGTTTGCTTCACCCTATTCTCATTACTATTTGTTATTCAAGATTTTGACTTTATTTAACAGTTTACATAATTGTTTGTACAAAAAAAAAAGTTTTAAATGTTGCTATAGCTTTTATAACACTTTAGATATTTTTACACCAAATGGTAACATAAAAAAATAGTTTAAGCTTTATGGCAAGAAAATCAATCTAGTACACTAAAACTGTGATTCCTAAGAACATGTACCAAGAATAATACAAGTGTAACTTGTGTCATTTTGGTTGGCAGTTGTGATAACACATTTCTGTGGTGTTTTCAGAAGAGTTTTGTAGTAGTTAGAAGTATGTATTTCATTCTTCATAGTTATGTGTAGCTCTAACTAATATATATATTTTAGGTGGAAAAAAATCCTTAGAAAAGCCAGGAATAAAGAATGTGGTATTAGTAGAAGGTGCTCGAACCCCTTTCTTAATGTCTCAGACTAACTACAAGGATCTTATGGCAAATGACCTGATGAGACATGCTCTTTTGTATGTTTTCCTTTTAAATCTTTTATTACTATATAAGTTAGTATTACTTATAATTTAGATGGTTCTCACTCAAATAATGGAAATCAATAGATCTTATACAACAATATTTATCTTGAGATACTATTTTTGTTAAACATGACAAGGTACACTGAAGGTACATTTGAATTAGACATCTTTCACATGTTGTTGTAATTGTTTTGATAAAGTGCTTGTTTCCATAAAATTTATTAAGTAATTTTTTTTGCTCTAAGTATTAGTGTTATTTTTGTGATATAATGGTTATCTTTAGCTAAATGAATCAGAACATATACATCTTTACAGGAAAAAAATTTTATAACAACTTCCAAACATCTTTTTGAATGTTGATTATCCATCGTACAAAGTAAATTTGATTTTAAGATTAAAAATACTTCTGATAAGGTACTCCCCCTCCGCTTACGAGATTAGCTTTTTTTGTTTTGCGCTGCTCTCTGTGTACGAACGTTTTCAGAAACGCATGCCACAAGTCTTCATCATCCCTTTGGTGGAATCCAAAGTTCCAACATGTCTCTCATGCAAATCATCATGCATCACCTCTCCACCAAAGGAGAGCACTACTGTTACGTGAAGCATGTGACTCCCTCTATGTGCCACTACCAAACTATCACTTCTCTTTGGCAGCTGTCGAGTTCAGACGTTCTTTCTTACATTGTTCAGTTACTTTGAAGTGGTTTAATCTTTCATTTTGCAGTTTTTATATTTTTCTTAACTTTATTTACTACACTCTACAGTTGTGGAGTTAATATTTTAATTATAGCATTACTTCCTTGTGTTTGCCACTCTGCCCGCTTATGAATTCTGAAGTTACAGTCACAACTTCACAACTTTGGGTACTTTGCCAGCATCTGATGCCGTATTTTCAGCCACTGGAGCAGGAGTTCTATCTTGGGATATATTGTTGCTCATTTGCCAGGAGATTGAGCGGTACATGAGCCAACCTCTCTTGCCTACTTCTGCCCCTCTTCCTTCTGAAGCTTTCAAGTTGGGGCAGGCTGATGACGATTTTGATAGCTTGTTCCCCTCCCAGAGTTTGCCTTGCCTTCGGGGTTTCCAGCTATTGCCTGTATAGCCGAGTTTCTCACATATATCTTTGAGAGGGGTTCTTCGAGCTTCTCTATTTTTATGTTTCAGGTGGCGTTATCCCATACCTTACATTTTTCCCATTTCCACAAGGTCTTTGCTTCCCCTGTCTTTTCCATGTTGATCCATTCCTTCTGTCTTTGTCAGCCACTGAGGCTTCCGTCACTCCCGGACTGGGACATTAACGTGGTCCTTCATGTCTTCACTTTACATATAAGTTCTTACATAGGTTTTGGGTTATCCATCTTCCCCTCTCGACTTGTCATCTGTGTTTTGGGTCACAGAAGGTCCTGTCCTGGATTTTCCCTCATTTGATGACGGGGTTGTTTTGGGCTAGTTTCACGGTTGCGAGGGTTGAGTGGATGCGATGTACTTCCCTTGGATTCCAGATGACACATTTCTGGATCCCAGGCATTAGGCTACCCTGTGAGTTCCTGAAGTCGAAAGTTAGGTTTCTTCTTGACTCTGGGACTTGAGATGAAGATGGTATGATCCTCATCCTACCCTCGTGAGGATGTCTATACCAAGCGAGTGAGGTTTTTTGATGCGGATGACTTACTGACTACAGTTTGTTCCCCCTAGCCATTCTACACCATGGGACATATCCTCACTTGTCCACTTTCCATCATGGGATTGAGTGATTTTAATTTCTGTCTAAGACCACATAGCTAAACTATACTCTCCTATGCAGATGTGCTCCCTTCATGTTCCTCCATGTCTGGTCCTCCTGATCATATCGATATTACTGGTGAAGAGATACCTGGCTCAGATGTGGTGCAGTGCCCATCTTCAGATCATCTAATCTGTTCCTCTCATTTTAGGGGTGTCCTCTGGATACTTACAGGGCTTACGCCTGTACTTTCCTCATACCAGTCCATCCTCCATTTCAGTGTGGGATTCAAGCTAATTTTGTCAGTGGAGCGAGAGCACCTTATCGAAAGTTATAATTTTCCTAAATGAAAATGTATTTCCGATAGGTATTTCCCTCCACTCACACTTCCCACACATCCTCTCCACAATCCTCTGGTGCTTGCATCTTCTGCCAAATTTAGAAATGATAGTTCATTAGTGGCACGTAGAGGGGGGTCGATTGCGTCATGTGATGGTAGTGCTCTTTTGTTGGTAGAGAGGTGACGCATGATGATTTGCATGAGAGACGTGTTGAAACTTTGGATTCCAACAAGGGAATGATGAAGGCTTGTGGCATGCATTTCTGAAAAGGTTTGCATACAGAGGACAGCACAAAATGAGAAAAGCTAATCCAGGGTTCGTACGTGTCCTGGAATGTCATGGAAATCCTGGAAAAACGCGATTTTTTTTCCAG